GACGGGCGCTCATCAGTCCTCTGACATGAAGCATGAAAGTCACACTGAGTCACTCACTGTTATCTCGCTGACATTTGTGGGCGAGGAGAATCAGATGTTTAATCGCATGATTGACTCAGTGTCACATTAACATACTGTACGTTAGGTACTCAAGGTTGAACACAACTCCGAGAGACTTGTTGTTGTCAGGAATCATGTTTTTCTGTTTTCTACTTGAAAGCACTTGTGTGTTACAATTATGACAAAAGCAGCGAATCAGTCCATAGATTTATCAAATCTAGATTAGATAAAAACACTTGGATTCTCACAGACTAAAACTTTGCACATGGGACTAGATTACTCAGAGACAACACCATTTTTTTACTTGCATTAATTTTGCTCATGCCAGTTTATTAAGATTTTATAGAGCTGATGGTTTGCAGAAATGCATCACATGTACCAAACACTTCTGATCTATAAGTCCTTTTTTTGCTCCAGAACCTGGATGAATCTATCTGTTATCAATCTGTTCCTTAGATAGAATGGAAGACATTATTGAAGTCTATGTCAGAAATAGTAATTCGTTTTGTCAGCTGAGAGAGTCCAACCCAGATTCCTTAAAGCAAGGAGTTGTAAAATTACAAAACAAGTATGTCATAGTTATAAACCCATCATCAAACCTGGGAAATTTGTAAGAGATCAGACTGTATTCAAGAAATGGGCACACGGATGTGTTGTCAGGTTGACCTTCATCATGTATATGAATCATCAAACTGATCTAACACTGTATGAAGAAGTGAACTTAACTTCCTGTTTTATGGCGAGGCTGCACTTTATAAATCAGACAATCAAAAACTTTGAACCAAAATGGTGGACTTCCGCTTTGGGTTAAAGGGATATTCCGGCGTAAAATTAATTTAGGGTCAAACACACCTAAACACCGAGTTAGACACCCCCTGGAGAGATGAATGTTGCCGACCGCTTGCTTCTCTAGTTAAACCAACTTTAGCAACGACTACAGTATAGCAATACACAGCAGTCTGAGGAGCCATACACCAACCTCAACCAAAACGCCACTCTGTAGCCACAAATAATGCTCAGAACAGCACCTAACTTCATCAACAGTACATATAGGGTCCCAGCCATAGCACTATAGCCACCAAACATCTTTTTAACTGTGCGTAATTTCTTTAGCAAAGAGACTAAACACAACTCACCTACTCTCTTCCAGCAGCCGCTTGTTTGTAGCGAGGCCTCAACCAGTCCATCATCGACTGAGGTGGAGGGATGCAGCTCAAAGAAGAACATTTATGATAATTTCTTCATGGAAATGCAATCAGACCAAGATGCTAAGGCAGAAGAACTACCACGTCTGCAGTGCAAAATGATTAATATGGTGATTATTACTTCAAGGAAATGATAAAGTAATGATCATAAATGTTCTTCCTTGAGCTGCGTCACCCCGCTGCAGTCCGTAATGGATTGGCACGAGGTCTCGCTCCAAACAAGCGGCTGCTGGAAGAGATTAGGTGAGTTGTGTTGAGTCTCTTTGCTAAAGAAATTAGGCAAAGCTAAAAAGATGTTTGATAGCTAGTACTGTGGCTGGGACCCTATATGTACTGTTGATGAAGTTAGGTGCTGTTCTGGGCATTATTTGTGGCTATAGAGTGGCGTTTTGGTTGAGGTTTGCGTGTGGTTCCATGGACCCCTGTGTATTGCTATAGTGCAGTTGTTACTCAAGTCTGTATAACTAGAGAAGCAAGCGGTTGCCAACATTCATCTCTCCAGGGGGTGTCTAACTCAGTGTTACAATGCGTTTTACCCTAAATGAATTTTACGCCAGGATATCCCTTTAAGTGTATGGGTGGGAGAGGGTTTTTTGTAGTTCTTGGTATGATACATACACCTGCTTAAAGTCAAGCATGTAAACTGAAGTGTGTGTGGTCAGACTCATTGTTATAAGTTTTGCTGTGATGTGGCGCCATTTTTCCACAGATTTTTTTCTATAGATAGATAGATATACTTTAGTGATCCCAAACTGGGAAATTCTCTAAAGATAGATAAAAGATTTAGCACCCAACGTGGGGCTCGAACCCACGACCTGAGATTAAGAGTCTCATGCTCTACCGACTGAGCTAGCCAGGCTTTTCTTTTTCTTTTATCTTTTTTACCTTTTTTTTTTTTTTAAAGATAGATATACAAGCCTAATCTGTGTGCAAAAATGATGAGTTTTGGCATATGTTAAGACCTTCAAATACACAAATATTTAGGTGGTAAACAGGTGAAAAAAAGACAGAAAGGGAATGAATGAAGGAGTAATAATCCCTCTAATTGGGCTCTCTCATCACTCAGTGCTCAGGCCCTAATTAAAGATGATAAAACAGGTTTATTTCCTTATTAAACGTCTTGTTTATCAGCTGCTAAAGTGTGCAGATCTCTGCTGTAAAATCAAAGTGACGGAAAGGAAGTGCTCGCTGATAAGCTTATGAAATAAATTCAGCCTTTGTTGTTGTTTTTTTAAGTACATCCTGAGGCGGTGTCTTCTTTCTGCTCCATCAGTTCTGGTCCTTAAACCGCCTGAAGTCAGCTCCACCCATAAAGAGAAACACGAGCAGAGTCTGACAGTCCTCAATAAAAGTCCTCAGATAACCTCGCAGCGGCTCTCACAACAAACTGAACATTTCAATAATCACCACCTCCATTATGATGAATCTGCTCTCTCTGCAGGTCTTTAGGCTTTTACAGGCTCATTACACATCCATCATACACTGACATTTCTCTACATACGAGCTGTCGACTAATTGAGACGTTTGTACGAACAGGTTTCTCTGAGAGTTGGTCAATAACTCCATAAATGTCACCTGTCAGTATTTCAACTAAACAATCACAGTTTTAGGACTTAATTTCTCTCTTCTGGCAGGAGTAAACTGGTGGTAAATCCACAAAAATGAGGGGAGTGTTCTAGCTTTTTATCCGTTTTTGTCTGTTTTTTGGTCCCACCGGGAGTCCCGCTCTGTTTAGGGCTGATGTGGTTCCTGTAGTCCCTGTTTGATCTGAAACAGGATGTGAAATTACCTGCAGAGTCCCTGAAAGTCCTCTCTTTGGAAACAGACTCCAGTTACAGAGAGCTGCTCCATGTGGCTGTTTTCACTGATGGACAGGTCGGGCTCATAACAGCGTCTGAAGGGCACTGCATCCTTTTAGTATTATGTTCTGGGTAAAATGCTCTGCTCCGTGATTCGGTCTCTCACTCTTTTGCTGGCATGCTGTCTGGATAAAAAAATACATCAAATTAGCTGCTTACAAAAAACAAAAATTACACAACTTGAAGGACATTCTACTAATATTCTTAATGGCAAAAACTTTGCTTTGATAAAGAGCCCTGAATTTCTGTAAACTGCCTGCACAAACAAGCACAGAAATTCTGAAAAATTAGGCGATCCCAATCAATCTTAAGACATCATTGAGATATGAATTCCACTACAGCACTTTTAAAACTTACATGAAGCATGTTGAATCCAAAATAATCTCAGTGTTTCAAGATAAAGTCAAACTTGATCTGATCAGGTCCAAGCTCTTTAACTCACAGCTTCTCCTGCAAAGATCTCCTCTGAAATTACATTACTTTTAGTCTCTTCGACACAAAGGTGTCCTCTAATTGGGTTTTATCTTTTTCTGCAAAGATCTCCTTGAGAAGGCTTTATTCCCGGCTCCCTTTCAAAAAAGACATTATATTAATCTTCTCTTGGAGCTAATTTCTCTTGAACGGCATCGTTTTTAACTTCTCATGCAAAGATCTCTTCTCAAAACACCTTTTCATCAGTTTCTTCTTCAGAGACCTCCATTGAAACAGCATTTCTTTAAGCTTGTCTAGCAATGATTTCCTTTTAAACAGCATAATTTTAGCTTCTCTTGCACAGAGCTCCCTTGAAAAGGTGTTACTTTTAGCTTTTTTTCTGCGAATATCTTCTCTCAAACATTGTACTCAGTTTCTCTTTTCAAATGGCATCATTGTCAGTCCCTTTTGCAGAGAGCTCTTGTCAAACTGCATTACTTTTAGTTTCTCCTGCAGTGATGTCCTCTGAACAGCATTGTTTTCAGCTTCCCTCATAAAGTGTTTCTCAAAAACATCATTCTGCTGTTGTATCAGTCTTCTCGCTTCAACCTGGGACACGTCTTTTTTCCCCCGGAAAGTCGCAAAGTCACATCGGGCTTGATGTGTATAGTCAGGCGCGTCAAAATTCTCCTCCGAATATTTCGTGATTTCGCATTCTATATTTACGACGGCCTGATGTGTAGGGACATTTAGTATCAAATATTTTGTTCATCATGAGTGATCTTTTTGAGCCACCCTTAGTCTGATCCCTCCCCCAGGACCTGTTTGCCATGGTTAGGCATAAAGCCCTCGACAACCTAGCTCCTGGGATCATTAGGACACGCAAACCCCTCCACCACGGTAAGGTGGTGGCTCGAGGAGGGGAAAAACCCTCCAATTGGAGGGGAAAACCACAAGGGTTTTTTTTTTTTTTTTTTTTTTTTTTTTTTTTTTTTTTTTTTTTTTTTTTTTTTTTTTTTTTTTTTTTTTTTTTTTTTTTTTTTTTTTTTTTTTTTTTTTTTTTTTTTTTTTTTTTTTTTGTTGTTGTTTTTTTTTTAGGTTTTTTTTTAGGTTTTTTTTTTTGAGGGTTTTTTTTTTTTGAGGGTTTTTTTTTTCATTTTAATATTTTTAGTTTTTTTTTTTTTCCTGATTTTTCTTGATTTTTCTTTTTTTGGAGGGGGGGATTTTCTTTTTTTTCCTTTTTTAGATTTTTAGTTTTTTTTTTTGAGGTTTTTTTTCTTTTTTTTTGAGGGTTTTTTTGGAGTTTTTTTTTTTCTTTTAATATTTTTAGTTAATTTTTTTTCTTGATTTTTCTTTTTTTGGAGGTGGGGATTTTCTTTTTTTTTTTTTCCTTTTTTAGATTTTTAGTTTTTATTTTTACTTGATATTTTCTTGATTTCTTTTTTTTTTTTTTTTTTTTTTTTTGTTAATATGCATTTTTCCCTGGAACCTTTGTCCCTGGGACCTCCTTGGTCTCTACTTGACCGTCCATTATGGCTTGAGCTGTTGAGGATCTGATGACACTGATGGACTCCAGCAGAGTGGCTTCCTGCCACTGGAGCTTGTGCTTCTGCAGATCCATACTGGCCTGGTGTAGTGAAGCCTCCAAAGTGAAAGATTTCTCCCGCTCCGCAAGGAGCTGTGACCTTAACTCTTCCCTTTGATGTGTCTGTTTGGATAGGTCCTCTTTAGTCTGCCCGAGGACTGCCCTCAGGAAGCTAATTTCCTCCTTGTGTGCATTCTGGACACGAATCTTATGCTCCTCCCACTGGTGTTTAAGCTGATCCAGTTGTTGGTGCCCAGTAAGGAAGAGCTGTCTCTCCTTCTCCTGTTGGCACCTCTGGTTCTTCAGCTCTTCTTGGGCTTTCTTTAGGGAAGCCCCTATCTTGCTGATTGCCTCATCATGCTCTCTATGGAGACAGAACCTGTCCTTCTGCCACCTCTGCTTCTTTGTCTTCATCTCCTCTTCAGCCTGCTCAAGGGCAGCCTTCAACTTGCATGAATCCTCTTTGTATGAGAGAAGAGATGATTTCTCTTGCTCCCATTGCTGCCTCTGGATCTCATGGTCTTCTTGGACCTGCTCTAGTGCAGCCTTTAATCTGTCCGATTCCTCTTTGTATGAGTGAAGAGAGGATTTTTCTTGCTCCCACTGCTGCTTCTGGATTCTATGGTTTTCTTCACTCTGCTCTTGTGCAGCCCTCAATCTGACACATTCCTCTTTGTAAGACAGAAAATCTGATCTTGCTAGCTCTATCTGGGCCTGCATGTCCTTGATGGCATGGGACATATCAGCCTGCAGTGTGGAATTCATGTCTGTCTGCCTGGCCAACTGTTCTTCCATCTCTCTCCGATTTTGCCTTTCTTTTTCACAGTCCTCCTTCAATTTTTCCATTTCCAGGACTGCTTCCTTTGCTGACTGCTGCTGGTTTGAAACCTCAGCAAGCAGTTGAGCCTTTTCAGAATCCGCCTTCTCTTCCTGGGTTCTGAGCTGCTTTTTCAGAAGCTCCACTTCATAAAGTAAGGCTGCCCTTTCTCCTTCCTGTCTGCTCACCACTTCAACCTTACCCTTGATTCTGAGACATTTAGGCTCAGGGATCTGGATGAGTGCCTGGCTAAAACCTTTGACACTGCCTTCTTTTTGTCCTGGGCCTACATGTCTCTTGATTCTGGTCCATTTAGGCTCAGGGATCTGGGTGAGTGCCTGGCTAAAGCTTTGGACACTGCCTTCTTTTTGTCCTGGCCCAGTTTGTCTTAAGGGTTCCTCCTGCTGTGGAGGAGACCCTGTTTTGGAGGCTGGCTGACAATCCACCTGTTTGGTTATCTCTTGAAGATTTGAGGTCTTCTGGTGGCTCAAAGGTGGAAATGCCTCTGTTTTTTCCTCCTGGGCTTTTCCAACAAATGTGGTCTGCTCCCTCATTGCTTGTCTGCGGGCCTCTTCTTTGAGAGCCTGGCGCATCATCATTGCTTCTTTCCTTTCAAACTCGTCTTCTGAATTATCCAGGTCGTACAAATCTGCTGGCACCAGGTTTGCATAAGGGTCAGCAGAAGGCTTCACAATGGGTACGGTGGCCACATTCTTCTTCTTGTTTCTGCCTTTTCTGGCATCCTTCTTCTGGCTCGTACTCATTGTGGGCAGAATGCAATTTCTGGACATGAGGTACATGGACATGGTGTAATTTGTGGTCGCTGTAGTTCACTGCGGTTCACTGTGTGTCTCTGTGAGTCTCTGTATGTCTCTGTATGTCTCGCTCTGATGGCTGGACTTGAGAGTAAATGTTGGAGGTTGTGTTCTAATCCCTTTTTTCAGATGAAAGCAGTGATGACATCACTGTGATGTCATCACTGCTTTGATGACATCATAACATTCCTTTTTTTTTTTCAAATTTAAATGAAAACATTTTCAAATCAAATCAATTTATATGATTAGCAAAGCATGAGGCACTTTAGTCATACTGTGGATATTTTCTTAATCCTCCTCCGGACAAATCTTGATTGACAATAGTCCTACAGCTCGAGGGCGGTCAGACAAACTGCAGAAAAATTTTGCATTGAAGTCAATGGGATGAGCCACAAAAGAAAAGAAAAAAAGATCATTGGAGTTTTCAAACAGCTTCTTCTCTGGCATACTTTCACCTAGAAACCCCATTTAAACCTTAGAATGTAGACACAAGTCTTGTCTATTGGTGTATTAATCCAAGTTATGGTTGGTATGATATGTTTTTGTCACATTTAAATGTTTCAGATCTTAAAACAAATTTAAATATTAGTCAAAGACAATACAAGTGAACGCAAAATGCAGTTTTTAAAAACAAAGGTTTTTATTATTGAAGGAGAAAAAAAAATCAAAGCTACATGGACATGTGTGAAAAAGTCATCGCTCCCTAAATCCTAATAACTGGTTGGGCCACCCTTAGCAGCAACAACTGTAATCAAGTGTTTGCAATAACTTGCAATGAGTCTCTTACAGTGTTGTGGAGGAATTTTGTCCCACTCATCTTTCCAGAATTGTTGTAATTCAGCCACATTGGAGGGTTTTCGAGCGTGAACCGCCTTTTTCAGGTCAGGACTTTGACTCGGCAGTTCCAAAGTCATCATTTTATTTTTCAACAGCCATTCAGAGGTGGTCTTGTTGGTGTGTTTTGGATCATTGTCCTGTTTTTGTCTTTGACTAATATTTAAATTTGTTTGATGATCTGAAACATTTAAGTGTGACAAACATGCAAAAAAATAAGAAATTAGGAAGGGAGCACATACTTCTTCACACCACAGTATGTTTATACAAACACTGAGAAAAATTTGGCCACAAATTGGGTGGGTTAAATGGGTTGATTACCATATACTTGGCTTTTGATAAGTGTTACAACAACTAATAAGACTCTGAAATCCCACACAAGAAAATAATATCTTTATTGCACCAACTCCAATGAAATTTACACTCCATCAGTGCAACATAAAAGGGAAAAAACAAATAAACAAACAAACAAACAAAACAAAAAAACAGACAAAGATGCATAAAAACAACAGGATAATTAAAAAATGACAAGAATAAATCAAAACTGAATAGTGACAGCAGAGGTAGTCAAGTCTGTGCAAATGTGCAAGGATAAGGGCAACTGCACCATGGCAATAGAGAGCAATAATAAAAGCAAGAGAGGCTGGTTTTGGGACTTGTATAAGGGACAGTTTAGGAGCTGCTCTGGCTCTGGGAATAAACAACAGAATGTGGTTTGTCATTGTCTTAAATGTAATGAAAGGCTGAGCTATGTGTTGAATAGAAACATTTTATTGTCCACATAGAAATAGAGAAATGATTAGTCATTAATGTTTAGGGATGGAAATTGATAAGATGTTATTGATACCAGTGCCATCATCAATGATACATAACAGTCCAATTCTTTATGGATTCTCCCATCAATTCAAGTGGATTTGATTAATTTGTGTTTCAGGTATTGGATATAAACAGTCTCTGGAGATACACCGATCCTCTGTGGGATGACAAAACGCCCCTCAATGTTACGGGAACACACAGTGTTTATTGCTGAAAAACTCACGAGTGAGTGGATTTTACCATAATTGAGCACATTGTACCATTTCATTTGTTACTGTTAACCAGTGATCTTCAACAAAGCTGCCAAAGTTATCCACAGATAATATACCTGTAACCAATCGGAGCCCAGCACTTCTAGCCAATCAAAGGCAAAGAAGGGCGAGACCTTACAAAAAAAAAAAAAATCCGGTATCCGGTAGGAATTGATGTATGGCATAAATTGCCGCCATTCCGGAGCGTAGCCGTTCTGGATGCGATAAAAATCCTGGGTTAGCTTGAGCAAAAGAAGTCCACATAGCAGAGTCAAGAAGATTTCAAATGATGGAAGGTTTTTATCTTCATCACATTTAGGAGATAAGGAGGAAGATGACTGTCTGACAGCAGCAGCTGACAGAGTCCACAGTTTTGGACCTAGAGCAGAAAAGTCTGTGAAACACCTTCACAACCACAGTTTTCAGGTCTTATCCTCAACTGAGAACAATCACAGTCCCTAATTACAGCTGAGGTATTTTGAAGTCTGACAGAGGTTTCTATGTCTGGATGTATTTATTCAAATGTCAGTCAGAGTCAGGAACTCACCCTCTGCCCCCTCACTTTACCTCACCTCACAGCACCGCCACGGAAACCGTTTTTTTTTCCAACATGATTTCAGAAGTTTTTTTTCTGCCCTCACTTTTATTTATGCATCTTTTTAATAACTCAATAACTTTCCCTAAACTGACAGCAGAGAGTTTATTCAAGAGTTTATTAAAGGGATAGTTTGCATGCTTTGAAGCCCCTGCAGACAGAGTCACCAAAAACCTGAACAAGTGGAGTCTAAATAACAGCACAATGACTGAATAAGTGATTGTATAATCCACTCTCTTGGTGAGGTCTACTGGGCGCTCCACAAAGACATTGACCATCCCTCTTAGCAGGGTGCCAATCTTTGTAGTTTTACCTCAGTGGGCTGCCTCTATCTTGGTGTGGAAGGTGAACATTGTGTTGAATGTTGTTGGTGAAACTTTAAGAGCAGAAGAAATGTTTAAAGTTCACTTCCTTCTCGTCCTGTTTTTTTCAACACCAGACAAGAGAACAAAACTGTGATCCACCCTGCGGGAAATGAAAACATTAACAAGTTTCTCTGGTTCCTGCGTCTAGTTTTTGGTATTTGTTAAAAGGTCAGAGTCTCAGTGAGCGATCTGATCCGAAAAATCCAACAAATTAATGTTGAGGCTCGTTTCTGTGGGTCATAAAATCTGTCTTATGTCTGTCTTAAATTTCTGTTTCCTGCAGAGAGCAGAATAAAGCGTCTTTATACTCGTCTCCAGCTGGGAGAGTTTCAGACACAAACTATTAGCTGCAGAGTTTCTGTGACGGCACGAATCTCCGGAGCTCCAGAGTGACAGACAGACTGTGAAAGTCTCCACAGTCGTTCAGCCTCCAGCCTGGGATCTCCTCCTTCTCTCCAGAGCATGTACTCTCTCTCTCTCTCTCTCTCTCTCTCTCTCTCTCTCTCTCTCTCTCTCTCTCTCTCTCTCTCTCTCTCGCTCTCTCTCTTTCTCTTGGCTCAGAGCTGGTGGTCTTCTACATGCAGAGCCTCATTATGGCGAGTCTGTTTCATGTGCAGAACATGAGTAATGAGGGCGAGAACAGTCCAGCGTTTCCCTGCATCCCATGGAGAGAAAACACTCGGAGAAGCTGGAGAGAGAGCGGAGATGCACGTTACAACGCAGCCATTTATCAGCACAGGATAATGCTTCTTCCTCCTCTGACATGAACGTGGGGTCTGTAATTGTGCTTTTAATTTTCATGTCAAGGATGCAATAGTGGAGGGCTTCATTACCGAGACAGACAGTTATTTTATCTTTGCGTGCAGCAGAAATAAAACATGCAAAAATAACTCTCACTCTTAAAGAAACACACAGTAATTCTTTAGCATTAGGTTTGTATGAAATATTCAGTCCAGTGTGAGAAGGTTTGGAGACAAAGTCCTGAAAATGTTTCTGTAAATCTGTTCTTACTGTCTGATCATTTACATACAGCATTTTTCTTTTTTGGTTAAGATCTTTAAATTTTACTTTAAAGTTTCAGGTTAACCCAAAAATATCAGTGAATAACTTTTTAGTTGAAAATCCAAGATTTTTATTGTTAACCACGTTGATTATGTATGACTGAGGAATTCTCTTATTAAGGGTCTCCACGTAAAGGGCATAAAAAATAAACTAATATTTTTATTAAAGACCCACTCCAATAAGAATCATGTTTGTCTTGTTGTTTACGTGTTCATATGGCATTTTGTCAGATGCTGCAAGACATATCATGAGAAAACTTAAGTGCAAAACTGCATTTTGAGTATTTCTGCATTCAATTTGTTGTGAACCTCAGGCAGACCCAGATGGCAGGTTCAGATACAGTAAGATTTTCTATGTCACAACTCCAGGCTCCGCCCCAAACTGCAGGCCAGTGTGTGCGTTAGCGGATTGCAATGCTCATAAGAAAACTAATTATGATATTAGCTTTTATCATGTCTCCAAAGACATTAGTGTCTAGGGTGACCATATTCTGACTTCCCAAAAAGAGGACATGACTACGCTGGGGTGGAGTCACAGAGTCTTACAAAGTTAATTTTGAGAGTTTTTTGGGTCAGATCGAGTGTCTTTTTGCTTCCAACTCAGTAAGTCCGCGTGACACAAAGTCAAAACTCCCTTGACAAAGCCAGACAAGCCCAGACAAGCCGGACAGCCCCCCAAAAAGAGGACATGTCCGGGTAAAAGAGAACATATGGTCACCCTACTAGCATCCGAAAGCTGAATAGCTCCTATATTACCTGCTACTTCTGCTGCACTGACAACGTTAGGCTACAAGCTAGCATGAAGAGGAAGGTCTAGAGCAGCACTGTCTCCACCCACAACTTAGACGCAAATTGTGAATGAGCTACTGGAGCTCTGCAGAAGAGAGGCTCTTGAAGATGACACAGGTAATGTGATTTTGGCTGAAAAACTTAATAATCCCAAATTTAAAGGCTAATGATATCACTTTAAGTGGTTAAAAAAAAAAAAAAAGACCTAGCATTTAAAAAAATAAACACACACACACACACACACATACACACATGCGCGCACAAGCATGTGTCCTTGCAAAAGTTTCACCTGTGGGCTTAAGATCTAAAGCTGCATGCATCAATTCATACACACTATTTGCACCTGAGAGCACAGTGTCGTAGATTTGCACCTTTGAGCTCTCTGTCATAAGTACACACCTGTAGGTAGAATCTCACAGATTTGCACCTGAACATTGTGATGCTCTGTTTCATAGATTTGCACCCGTGTACTATAGTACATAGATTTTCCCTTACAGGCACTGTTTGGTGGATTCACGCCTCTTGGCTCTGTTTAAGAGATTTTTACCTTTAGGCTCAGTTTCATAGATTTGCACCTGTGGGAAAAGTTACATAAATTTACAATCCACAAAATCCAAGTCTATCAGCCCACATGTAAAACAGTGATTTTCTGCACTGTCAAGCTTTTCCATCGCTTACATTTTAAAAATTGTCAGTCATCCTTTTCAGTCTTTCATCTTAGTTATGAAGAGACTTAGAGGCCGTTATTCTATTACAATACAGAGGTAAGCATCTTTAATGATGAAGAAACTCAGTTAAATGTTCGATCAATTAAGCCCAAATATAGTTTTTGCACTCCTAAACTTTGTTGCCCATCATTCTGAGCTTCTGATTACAACGTACTATATACTAGTCTGATGCCTTCTTGGTGAATCAGCCCACCAGGTCATGAGATCACCAGTCCAGATCTGGAGGTGGTCCCTCTCCTCCTCACTCTGAATATGAAATTGAAGAGCATCCAGTGTTATCAGTCTACTTCTACATTGCGCTGCTGTTAGCGTCCATTCCTCTCACCATCAGGAGCACCTTTACTGTGTCCCTCTCAGGCTGCAGAGGACTCAGGCCGCTCCATCCCTCAGTTTCATCACTCTGGATGACATGTTGCGCGTCCTTTTCAGTCTAAACCACAGAGCAGAGAGGCACAAAAAACTCTCTTCATCTCCAAGGCAACTAGCAGTTTGAGTGTGTGTGTGTGTGTGTGTTTGTACAGTAATCTGTGTGTGTGTGTGTGTGTGTGTGTGTGTGTGTGAGCGTGTGTGTGTGTGTGTGTATGGGGTGTAAAATCCACAGAAAAACAAGGCTTTGGCAAATCTCCGCTCCTCTGAGTTTTGGTAGAGATGCTCCCTGAAGCTTTATCCTGTTTTTTTTAATCAGGCTCATTGACTCACTGATAATTTGAACAAATGATCCAAATTGAGACTTAACCTGTTTAAAAGGAGGAGGGGAAGCCTTTTTGCAGACAAATTAGCCCTGAATCAGATGAGTAGCGTCATCCTGTGTTGCTGTTTTTGAGCTGGGAGGAGGCTGCAGCTGGGATTTCTGAGACATGCTCCACCTGTTTTTTTTGCAGATTTTTTTGACATGCAAACTCAAATCCAGGATTCAAAGACTTTTATTCAACTAACTTTTGTTCTGCACTGTCCTCTGACTTTTTTAAGAAGAGTGAGTCTGCATGGATTAAAACTTTGTGACTTTCAGTGACTTTTCGATGCCGCCCAGTTTCTCTTGTCTGTTTTAATTTTTCCTCTTCTTTATTCAGAATTCAGCGTCTCCCTCTGTCTCTTTCCTTCTGCCATCATGTCTGCCCTGAGAATACTGAGAAAGACCTGAACTGGGAGGTCAGGGCCTTCTGCCAGAACACTTTGCTGTTAAGCATTTTTAAACTCCTCCCGGGTGATTATACGCACCTCAACCTCAGTTTTATACTCCAAGAGCAGCCGTTGATGGGACTTTTTCTCTCTATTAGCATCCAGAGCACCATCAAAATGATTGAAGGTAAAATAGTTATGGATACCACTGTAATAGAGAGAGAGAACTTTTAATTCCTGGTGTGAAAAAGTCCATCTACCTTTTGCGGGACAATTAAAGGGATATTCTGACTTAAATTGATTTAGAGTCAGACACAGTAACACCGAGTTAGACAACCCTTCGAGAGGTGAATGTTGCCGACTTAGTTATACCAACTTTAGTAACGGCCGCACGATAGCAATACACAGTGGTCTGAGAAGCCATAAACAAACCTCAACAAAAACGCCACTCTATAGCCACAAATAATGCTCAGAACAGCACCTAACTTCATCAACAGTACATATAGGGTCCCAGTCATAGTACTAGCCACCAAACATCTTTTTAGCTTTGCCCAATTTCTTTAGCAAAGAGACTAAACACAACTCACCCACTCACTTCCAGCAGCTGCTTGTTTGTACCGAAGCTTGAGACCTTAGATGAGTCCATTACAGACTGCAGTGGGGTGATGCAGCTCAAGGAAGAACATTTATGATCATTTCTTCATAGAAATGCAATCAGACCGAGACGCTAAAGCAGAAGAACTACCGTGTCTGCAGTGCAAAATGATTGATATTGTGATTATTACTTCATGAAATAATAAAGTAATGATCATAAATGTTCTTTCTTGAGCTGCGTCACCCTGCTGTAGACTGTAATGGACTGGCCTGAGGTCTCACTACAAACAAGTGGCTGCTGGAAGAGAGCAGGTGAGTTGTGTTTAGTCTCTTTGCTGAAGAAATCAGGCAAAGCTAAAAAGATGTTTGGTGGCTAGTGCTGTGGCTGGGACCCTATATGTACTGTTGATGAAGTTAGGTGCTGTTCTGAGCATTATTTGTGGCTATAGAGTGGCATTTTGGTTGAGGTTTGTTTATGGCTTCTCAAACCGCTGTGTATTGCTATCCTGTTGTCGTTACAAAAGTTGGTATAACTAGAAAAGCAAGTGGTCGGCAGCATTCATCTCTTGACGGGGTGTCCAACTCAGTGTTATGGTGTGTTTGACCCTAAATTAATTTTACGCTGGAATATCCCTTTAACATTCATTTCAGGTGCAGGTCAGACCCATGAGTTTGTTTTAATGGACAGATGCTCTAGTGTCCAAAAGTCAAATCCTTCAACTGATTCAGACCAACAGGTCACCACATTGGGACCCGGTCAGCCTCAAATCACTGGAAGCTGCTGAAAAGTTCATCCAAACACAGTTTACTCAGACAGAGGTAAAAATATTTGCACTTCTGAATTGAGTTATAAAACCAAACCTGATGGCATTTTGTTTTCTGCGTACCCAAAAGACCAAATATCCCTGAGCTAATAGACATCAGCGTTCAACAGCAGGGGCATCATTTATTTCGCCTCCAGTCTGACAAACATTTCCTTACACCTGCATTCAAAAAAGCCGTTCTGAAAATGTGATAAAGCCCGAGCAGCCCAAATATATTCGAGATTTCTTTAAAGGTCAAACATAAAAAAGCTGTTTCGCTGCTTTGACTGAGCTTTTTATGGTTGTAAAATCACCTCATGAGGCTGAGGACATCGAGTATCATAATTAGGGGTAAGTAGAGTAAAAAAAAATGTTAAGATTTCCGTTTTCCAATAAAACTCTCTGTGCACCTCTGAGAATTACCTCCTGTCTACTGAATTGTCTCCTGAGAGCGGTGAAGTCCTCCAGGAGAGGCTCAGACGTGACAGTCTTCAGTCATTAGGATCATCTGAAGCTCGGCTCTCACTGTCTGCAGGTTCCTGTCTGCTGACTGTACACAGGTCCTCTCTCTGCAAATCAGTGGGTATCGGTGTCAGTCAACCCCCGCTGGGATCACGGCTGCACGCCAATGAAGACTGTGGCAGGATCAATACAAGTCAACAGCGCCCAGTGGTCCAGATTGATGCACTTCAGGTAAACAAGGTGCTGTCAAGGACGTCAGTGAATCAAGAGAATGAGGAGGACTTTCTCTGAACTCGCTCAGCGGCAGGATTCAGAGTCATCCATTTGATTACTCTCTCTCTGTAATAAGAAAAGCAACAGATTACACATGGTCCTGATGCAACTTCTGTACCGCAGGAGATCTGAACTCCCAATTATCTCCATGTAAATCTTAGAAGAGTAAGGACAAGTGATTCTAGTCTTCGAAGATTCAGGATCCCCACATTTTCAGTCTGCCTGTAACTGCGCCGCATATGATTTTTTCTTGTCTTAAATAAATCAGACAGAAATCCCCTTCAACAAATTCTGGTGGTTTTCTTCTTTTCCTCCATTGAATCGTGAGGAATGAACAGAAATTTAAAAAACTGCTCATTAGTCTTCATAATTTGAGCTATAAAATCTAAGATGATTTATTCATCATATGTATGGAATCATTTGTGAAACATGTTCTCAGACATTCTCAGCTCTCACATCGAGGGAGATACCTCTCAGTATTCTGGCGGCGTCTCAGCAGAAACGGCAGCGTCTGCAGCTGGCCGTCAGGGCAGCCTTGGCTCTTTTGATGAGCGTCTGAACTCTGAAATCTGGGCTAAATCTCTGCCCTCCTGCATAGGTCAGTCCCCGGCCTGCAGCAGAGTGGACCGCAGCTGTGAGAGGGAAAGCAAAGACGCTTTTGAAGTTCACGCCGGGCTTTGAAATGTGGAGGAAATCATTAGGATGTGGATTTACTGACTGTGAGGTGCAGCGGGATAAAGGCAGCTCTGGCTTTGTGTCCACCTGAGAAACTTTATTTGTACCTCTAACCCCCGAGTTCGAGGGACTTTTGAGGACCTCACAGTAAAGTTGAGTGAGTTCAGAGTCGCTCAGGACATCAGGTCCACTTACTGTCTCCACACACCAAGCACAAGTAAAATCAATTTCACGAATTAATTACATGTTAAGTCAATGCAAAGACACGATAGGGTGCTCATACAACTCTGGCAGCGTGAATGATGCGAATCGGGCGAATATTGAGCGGATATTCGCGTCACGATAACTACTCAGCACGAAGGTTGACGGGTGACGTATGAAAACGGACAGTTGTTCACTGGTATCTTAAATGGAGGACAAACTGATCGAGTTGGTGTGTGGGTGCCCCAAATTATATGATACCTTTTCTTTCAATTACCAAAACGGGAAAAAAGGAGGTGGGATTACCTGGTAAATCGAAAAACTAGATCCTGCAGGTTGAATTCGCAGGGATTACCGTTTAGATTACCAGTGACGCACAAATGCATCTAGAGTCGCGCCAATTTAGCAAGTAGATGGTTTTATTCGCACAGTAAATAATAAGCTTAACAACTTTGGAAACTATTTTTTTATATTAGATATTATATGGTGGGCTGTAACATATGCACTATAAGAACAAATTGAATAAACAGTGAAATGTGAGTCAGCTACACAGTCTCTGTTTTCCCTCAGGTCAGCACTGATGTGTCTCATATCATGTGATTTGATGATTAAAAAGAATAATTTAGGTTAATAAAAAAACTGACATTAATTTGCTGTATTACAGTTTTAGCTGTCTTGTGTTTTACTGCTGTGAAATAAAGTTTCATCAGCTATGAATGACTTTTACAGCTACGTCTTTACAGGCCTGTACAGCAAACTCTGGTGGAAGAAGCCGAACACTGACGTCAGGAGGTGATTCAAGATTTAGTGGAAACTGTTTCTTCCGGAGTTTATTTCAGGTCTTAGGCAGCTGTTTTTCTCAAAACTCAAACCCTAGTATTACCACTAAATCCCGCTGCTGAATAATTCCATGTTTTAATTGATATTTTACGGTAAAATCGTTCAAAACTGATGTGCCAATAGATTATTATTCATCCGCAAAGAAGCTGCAGCCTCGGTGTGTCGGAGTATTGATTTAGAGTGTCGGATTATTATTTTGTTGATGGGCCGACAGAATCTCTGTCAGGACTTTCAGCTGTGAGCTTAATTCTGTCAGAGTGAGTGTGAGTACGCAGCGGTGCGTGTCTAACAGGCCGGCTTGTTGGTGTGTTTCTGGCTGCATGCTAATACTCACATGAATATGTATGACCGTGACTGTACGTCTGTTTGGAGTCACTGACACTGAAAGTACCAGTGTTTTTACTGGGAATAAAGTCTTTAACAGACTGAAAGTTTTACAGACTTTTACACAGTCTGTCTTTTATTCTCCTGAAACCAGACAGTGTTTTAAAGTGCAAGGTTGGTCTGTAAACGACAGAGAAAACTTCAGTTTTAATTCAGTCTCACACCAGCTCTCTGTGTGTTCATTATTGTGTGTGACAGCCAGAGACTCCACGGGTGTTTCTTTGTGTTTGGATCTTAATTACACCTCAAACCCGACAGACAAGCTGCTGTGAGCTTTACAGCACGACGTACAGTATGTTTAGCAATCACTGCAGAGTTGGTGAGGGGAAACCAGGAAGCTAATTAGCCCTGAGTGCAGCTTCCTCCAGCAGGTGGGGGAGCGTTTACTCATACAGGAGCATACAGGTTATATATGCTGTCAGGAATCAGAGAGTCTGTTCAGTTTGAGGAAAATATCACCTCTGTGCGGTCTGATGTTTAAATCATCGACAGCAACTCTTGAGACGTGACCGAATCACAGCAGAGAGTTAATGCATCAAAAGTTTCAGACAGAGAAAATAAATCCATGTTTCCTCCTTCAGGAAATAAGAAGTTCTAAAACTTTGAACGAGAGACAGAGAACTTTTTCTCTGTTCGTACCTTTGAGTTTTGGGTTTGGATAATTCCTCAAAAGTGTCACGTCTGCTGCAGTTCAAACAAAGGAAAAGACCCAAAATACAGACTGAACTCAGGAATTTAATAATAAAAAACTCCTTTACAAGTCTGACAAATATCCGTCTTGAAAAAACAGAGCCAAAAAGAACAGAGAAAAACTGAAAATGTTCAAGAAGGTAGAAGAATACAAAAGCAGAATCAGGAGGAATGGCTGTGAAGACACGGCGCTGACACAGATGGAGTCCCACAGAAATACTGCATGTTCTGATAGGAAAAAGGATGTAAAATAAACCACGTGTTAAGATCTTACAAGCAAGAAAAAAACGTAATTGACCTTTAATGAGAAAAGAGGTAAAAAGAGGTAAAATCAGCTCATTTTCAGGTCCTCAGTACCTTTCCCCCCTGCAGAGTCCCTGATTTAAACCCGGGTCAGTTATCTCATTGAGCTGAATTTTTTTTTTTTTCATTCTTAGCAGGCTGTTTTTGATGCCTCCTCCACACTGATGTTGCTAGGCAACCGGATAAACACAGAGTGTGTTAGGAGATCCGCTCACGTCTGAGCAGCTTCAAATAAAATCTCTCTGAATATTCGGGAGGAGGACGTGTCTTTCCTGCCTGAAAATAAATGCTCCAAAAATCAAACTGGACTGGATTTTATATTTCTGATCATTTACATTCATGGTACGTGTGTTTCATTTGAATATGAGAGAAACTACGTCACCTCCAGATCAAACTGCATACCTTTTTTATCCCACAATAAGGCTTTCAATCCATCTTTGAGGTGTTTGACATTTCTGATCCCCTGGTCTGTTTTTCTGGAGCTAAAAGATGCCGTATTCTGAGTGGCAAGTTCTTAAAGGGAATAAAAGCAGACGCACCGATTGGTTTGATTCATTCACACCCAAAACACACCTGTGAACACTGAGGGACTTAAAGGGATATTACGGCATAAAATTAATTTAGGGTCAAACACACCGTAACACCGAGTTAGACACCCCCTCGAGAGATGAATGCTGCCGACCGCTTGCTTCTCTAGTTATACCAACTTTAGTAACGACCGCACAACAGCAATACACAGTAGTCTGAGGAGTCATAAACAAACCTCAACCAAAAATCCACTCTATAGCCACAAATAATGCTCAGAACAGCACCTAACTTCATCAACAGTACATATAGGGTCCTCGCCACAGCACATCAAACATTTTTTTTTAGCTTTGCCTAATTTCTTTAGCAAAGAGACTGAACACAACTCACCTACTCTCTTCCAGCAGCCGCTTGTTTGTAGCGAGATCTCAGGCCAGTGCATTACGGACTGCTGCGGGGTGACGCAGCTCAAGGAAGAACATTTATGATCATTACTTTATCATTTCCTTGATGTAATAATCATCATATTAATCGTTTTTCACTGCAGACGCGGTAGTTCTACTGCCTTAGCGTCTCGGTCTGGTTGCATTTCCATGAAGAAATCATCAATGTGTTGCTATTGTGTGGTCGTAACTAAAGTTGGTTTAACTAGAGAAGCAAGCGGTCAGCAACATTTATCTCCTGAGGGGGTGTCTAACTCAGTGTAACGGTGTGTTTGACCCTTAATCAATTTTACGCCAGAATATCCCTTTAATCCAGCTTCCCACTGCCCCACTTTGCTGAACTAGCAAAAATGAGTGTCCGCGTGTCCTTTTTCTTCATGCCCTGCACACTATAGATCTTTCAAACTGGGCCCTGAAGTGTTTTTTTGCACCTGGTAATAAACATGCTTGTGTAAGGTTGGACATTTGAGCATCTTTGGGGGTTAACTCACTGATGGCCACTCCTGGAACTGCAGTTTCTGTCACTGACTCTGTTTTTATCTCAGGAGTTTGCTGCTTTGAACTTAGATGGACCTCTTGAACTCACGTCCCTTTTTCTGACTCAGCGCTCCCCGGTGGGTCGTGCTGGTGTCAGAACTCCCAGCAGCCCTCTTGTTCTTGCTCTTGTTCCTACACTTATCCCACCAACACAATCCTTCCTTGTTCTCTGTACTCTGTAATTAAACTGATCCAGATTCAGACATTGCACTTCCCCATCCATCTGCTATAATTATTTTTGAAGCATATTTTAAGTGTAGGGTTATTAATCATGTCATGGTTGAAGTCACCCTGAGCCCCAGAGCATGCTGGGAGATATTTTCTTTCATAAGCAGCAAGCATGTGTTCACACCCAGTCATTAAAAAGTTAATCATCTGGCTTTTGTTGAGTCACATCTTCATAGAAAACTTGTCAACGTTGGTATGAAAATTTATTCCGAGGAGGAAAATCAATTTAGATTTAACTCGACTGGCTTATTTTGGTGTTTCTGCTCTGAAATTGTTTGACTAATACAAAACTTGTACAAAAAAACATGATAAAAAAAAGTTATTTAAAAAAAAAATCAAATATCCTGTCTTTGTTTTTTGTTTTTTAGGAGGAAAAATCCTGCAAAATATTATAAACCAACAACATCCAGCTAAAGGCAAAAACACTGAAAAGTTGAAGCTTGTATTCATGAGTGGAAAAAGTCAAAATTTGCAGTTACACAGAAAAATGATGATATCATGATTAAGTATTGTGTCACACCATTGACTGTTATAGAATGGACGCCGTCTGCCTCCTTGCTGTGTGAAACCACTTAGCGAGAACAGCACCCTCTGGTGACAGGCTGCAGTATAGGTCATAAATCCCGCCTCCAACCGGCCATCCTTACGGAGCTGTGGACAAACTTTAGAAATTTATTACAAAGATGTTTCTCCCCCCTGCTTGCGATGTTGACATATAGTTACTATAAGGCTGGTTTGTGCTCAAGTCCTCTTTTTTTCTGTACAGCTCCATTTTTAAAAGTTATAAGGGGGTTCATGTTTTCTATGATTGACACTTGATACAGCCTACAGACGTACAAAGATTGCATAGCTTACCCGGGGGATATGCTGTTTGAGCCGAGCGTCATCACAGCGACTCCCCCGCTGAATGCGTACAATGCTACTGCACAAGTGGTGGAGAGTGTACAACGCTACTGCAAAATGTTGATTTCAGGAAATGGAGAAAAATGCGGAATTACGAAGAGCTTTTCGGCATCAAATCCATATACTGGTGAAAGGCGGAACCAAGTTGTCCATAGTATATACAGTCTATGTTTCACACCTGCTTTTGCGCTCCATACAGACAGTTTTTCCTGCTGACACCTGATTGTTCAAAACCACTTTGAAGACCATATCCAAACCTTTAAATCCAGATTCAACATTTTTCGAAAGCTCTAATGAGCGCTTGTCAGGAATCCCTCATTTATTCATCTCTTCCTGTTGATTAACCCTTCTTCTCATTCCTCCAGGTTCAGCAGGTTCATGTAATTTTCCTCCTGAATTTGGTCTGTGCTGGTGATCCATCATGCTTTTTAATTCTGCTGATGATATAATCAAGAAACAGGGTTTTAATTTTCTCTCCTTCCAGTGAAATAAAGGTCAGATAATACCTCTGGTTTAGTTCGGTGAGCAGTTAAAAAAAGCACCAAAATTAGAAAGACATCAGTTTTTATCCTCCAAAGGGAAGTTTGAGATCCCTGAAGAGGGAGTAACTTCTGTTGGTGACTTTTTCATCAGAGGGGGTTCAGATCTTTCAGCTTTAGATCTTTTGTTGAAAAGCGGAGAATTTAAAAATGCAGATCAGCCCAGGAAAAAAAACCCAAACAGGGTGATGTTTTTTCTGTGCTGAGTTTGATCTCAGTCTGTTTTCTGACTATTTTTGCTGTTGTACTTTCTGTCCCCTCAGAGCTCCCGTTAAATCCTCTGATTTACGCCTCAAAGCCTTCGTTATTTGCTCAATCTTTCTCTGAGCGTCTTCATTTTCTTCTGCTGCTACATGGAAATCAAACCTCCTCCTCTGTGCTGGAACTCTGAGCCTCTTTGTGTCTTTCTGAAACATACCGATCCTGAGACTGTGGCTGAAAATTACATCAAGTCATGAGGAGAAGTGTGCACACTCCCTTATTAAAGCCTCCTCACGCTGTTCCCTCGTGTCCTTTCCTTGGTAGAGGCCTCTCTCTCTGCCTGTGTTTGGGTTCATGATGAGGATGACGGGTTTAATTGAAGTGGAGGTTTTGACACTCTGACAGGCCGTGCTGCCCTTCAGACTGATCACGCCTCTTCATCAGACCTCGTCTTCGGCGTGTTCGCAGCGGGAGGCTCGGTTCTGGCAGCTGACGAGCTCTGACGGCTAGAAAGCGGATCGATGACGCAGATGAGTGGGCGGCCATGTGGAGACCTTAAAGAGCTTTAGGTTCATGAGAGGATAGACTTAAAGAAGAAACTCTGACTGATGCTCTGATGAATGTAAGCTTTGCTTTTCTGTGGAGCACTTTCTGCTTGTATAAATGAGACATGAGTGGCTTTAGACCCGTTTTCATCATCAGTATCTTGCCTCTGCGAATCATCTTGACTTTTACTTTAACATCTCTCATCACTTATGGCAACAGTTCTGAATACAAGACAGTCACAGCTGTGCGTCAGCAAGGAAACCAGAAAAAATCAGCAAAACAGATATTCAGGATGTGGTTTTCACGCTAATGTAGAGGAGCTTAAAGAATCAGAAGAGGTTCAGACCAAAAACGACAGATCCTAGTCGCAGCGGTTGCAGGTTTGACCCCTGGCCATGACTGTCGTATGTCTTCCCCTACTTTCTATCCCCAAATTTCCTGTAGCTTTTCGGTTGTCCAAACAAATAAAAAGTCAAAATGCGCAAAATCAGAACTTCAACCAAAAGCAAAATTCTCTACACATGGATGATTAAGCCTATAAAGTTAATTCATGCAGGTTTTGTCAAACCAGAGTTGCAAATTTCTGTACATACGATAGAATTACACCTTTGAAAAATCTATCAAGTGCGTGAGTCCGACAGAAATGAGGTTGGAGATGTGTTTTTCTCTTGCATGTTTAGGCAATAGACTGTATAAACTATGGACAACTTGGTCCTGCCAGTTTATGGATTTGAAGCCGAAAAGCTTTCGGGATTTTTCACGATTTTTGACCTATACCGCAGCCCGTCACCAGAGGGTGCTGTTCTCACAGTGGCTTCACCCAGCAAGGAGGCAGACGGCGTCCATTCTATACAGTCTATGGTTTAAGCACTGTAACTGGCCAAAGAAGTCTGCACAAGAATCTGTTGTAAGCTGTCAGGTTGTAAACAAAAGATATTTCAGAAATATTTCACTGTATCTTCTAGAGACTCATCCCTCCATCTTCTATTTTAAGGGGAATTTTAAATCATTTTTAGTTAAGCAGTATTGTGTCTGCACTCCAAACATCATGGCAGATTATACTCATCAGAAAAAAACAAAAAGGAAAATGTGACCAGAACATGAACATGTCTCAGATGGAGTTAAAGAAAATCACATGAAAGTCATGAAACACTCCGGAGCCACGGTGGCAATCAGCTCCTGTCTCTGCCCTCCTGATGAGTCCTTGAGGAAGACTCTGGATCCTCCTGTAGCTCCTGGAAACACCACTGTGTGAGCGACCGTGACCTCTAACTCCCACTGGTAACACGTAGAGCGTCCTCCTCGGGGATCAGAGGAGTGGCGTGTACAGGAATTGAGCATGACTCCGCTGGTTGATGGTCTCATTATCATTAGTGTCGTTGGAAGGTCACCTGAAGAGGAGTTTCGATCGACTGGTAAAGATGTTGGACACGCCGGCTTGTCATTAGACGTTCAAAGAAGAAGGATTAAAAGCAGGAAGTCAGCCCACTTCTTCATCAGCAGGAGCTGACAGGAGGCTCCGAGGGAAGTGACCTTCTGAGGGACACGTCACCTTCAGCTGATTAATGAAACTACATAGTTTTGTGACTGATTCGTCAACCACAGATTAAATGTCTGTAAAATCACAAGACATGTCTGCTACCTCTGAAAACAGAAAGACAAGGAGAAGAGATGGTAGGAAGAAGATCACAGACTTGATTTATGGATTTTGTGACATGTGTGCTGACATCCTGAGACAATTTACAAGTCATCAGACCTTTACTGAATATTTGATTTATAATTAATTGGTTGTGGTTTCACAGAAAACAAAAGTCATCTGGGACAGGATTACAAGACTTTTGTCAACGTCCAGGATGAAACAAAAGGGAAAGGACCCAAATGCAGACAAAAGAAACATTTATTAAAAATGAGCTAAATGAAAGGCAACAATAACTTACTTTAAATCCCCGACTGAAAAATTCCCAAGGGCAAAAATAAACACAAGAGGCAAAATCCACTGGGGTAAAATCACAGGGAGCAACTGCGAATATAGGCATAAGCACAGAGCAACATACATACAACACAATAGACTGACAAGGATAGAGGCGAAGACAGAGACTATATACACACTGAGAAACGAGCAACAGGTGAGGCTAACGAGACACAGGTGAAACTCATGGGTGATTAACGAGGGAGGGAAAACCAGGGAAGTAAAACCAGACTAGGAACACAAGGAATCTTTCGCCAAATCGAACTTTTCTCCTTGCAGCTGAGAGGATCGAACTATTGTCGTGAATGTGTCCTCCTCCCCAAAACCAGGGGGCAATATTGGTCTTTTCAGCGCCGCTGTTTCCTGACTTTTTTAAAGATGTCTCCATTCCTCGTTTTGTGACCCTCCATATACTTTGAAATGTCGATTTCTTTCTGGACAGAAAGCATAACAGCACTCCCTTCATCATTCCAAAAGTGGACATTCTTTCGTGTTTTGTGCTTCTGAGTCGAAAGTTCTTTGAATGATAGTGCCGCTTCTTCTTTACACATGCATTGTCCGATCATACTCCGACTACGCTGGTTACATGGCAGAGAAAAACAAATTCCAATCGCATTATCTACGTGTCCTAATTGGAGTCCTCCAACTCCAATCGTCGTTCTCAAACTCCGATTACAGTCCGACTAAGGTGTTTACATGCACTTCAGTTGTCCCTTCTTAATCGGAGTAAGGCAATAATTCGGTTTTCTCGAGTGTCATATAAACGTACTGACTGAGAACATGAAGGAAACAGGGTCAAACTTAAACTGAAAACTCACAAGACAGGATCACAGGGACAATATGGAGAAACACAAGGGGAAGATCACAGAAAAAATACACTCAAATAGAAAAAACAGAGAAAAACTAAATCAACAGAACATGTCGTGACAACTTTTGGACAGGAGAATCCCTCCAAACCTCTCTGATGTCCAACAGTCCTAATGGTTTATTCTCTAGGTATGATGTTCATGTTTTTGTGCATCAGGTGTAACCAGCAGAAAGAGTTAAATGACTTTTTGTCTTTCGCAGTTTGGGAGTAAAAAAGGGAGCTGGACTAAAGAGCCGACTGTTAGCATCTGTTTCATACAGATGTCAGTTTTATGGACAATAATTGAAGCAAATTGTCAAAATAAGTGCCAATTGGGTCCCTTTTTCGAATGCAGTCAAAGTTTTTGCAGATTTTTTGTTAGGTATTGAAAAATAGTGCTAGTCCAGGCAGGCCACCAAGTCAAGTTTATGCGATCACTGATGCCTGTTCTGTTCTGTATCCCAGGGGTCTTTGCTGCTGCTCTCCCCAGCCTCAGTCTTTGAAATCCCAATATGTTTGTCAGGTGATTGTTAAAGTGTGAAATCAGCTGTGAACGGTGAATGTTACAGATAACTCGAACCACACTGAGATCTGAGAGGAAGTCTTAGATCTCTTGTAAATTTCCCCGAAGCATGGTGGTAAATTGCTCTAACAGAATTCTTTGTTTAGTCTTCTTAATAGTGACCCTGCAAAGTTCTCAGTCATTGCACAGTCTTATATTTAGTGACCAGAATGTCTTCGCACCAGTCTGTCGTCTTTTCAGAGCGTTTCACCTCTGAGTTTTTAGATTACCTGAAGAAGCGTCCTCATCCTTGGACAAAAACAGAATCATTTTAAGAGTTAGAAATGTTATGAAGAGCTTTTCAGGCTGCTTTAAAATCTCCCGCAGGTGTTCAGGTGGGTTCAGACCTCTGTCTCTGAAGAGCCCTCCTCATCTGGATGAAAGCATTTACTTGTTTCTTCAGATCTGCACCCTTATAATTTAACTCCTGCTCTTTAACAGCAAACACACTGAAGGTGAAATAAGTTCACAGAGATGACACCAGGTGCTCTATCACCTTTACAGAGCAGAGGTGGAGGATGGATCCATCAGGGAGCGCTGTCACTGTGAGGAGTATTAATGTGGAGCAGACGGGATGGATGCATGAAGGAGGAGTTTTTATTGCTCACTGTACTCAGACGGGCTCTCTGGAGATCTGTTGTTATCCATCAGTTGGAGAGAGAAGGGCTGAGAAAAGGCTGCGTCACTCTTCTTCTTCATCCATTTTTCTTTCATTCCCCCAAAGGGCCTGTCAGAATAACCAAACAGCCCTCAGGAAAACTCACCACTTCTGCTTTTTCATTTTTCATATCAAGCACAAACAGAAACTCGCCATGTGGAGAAAATCTGGATGGTTTTATTCTGCCTGGTCGGGTTATTGTTCAGTGGGGGAGATTTGGACTCTGGGCAGAGAGCGTGATGCTTCTGGTCACTCATTTCTTACACTCTACTGCCCTCTGTTGGCAAGAAGTCAGACATTTTACGCAAGGAAAGTTTGTTGGAGTCTTCACACAATGTAGTACTGGTTATGAGGAATCTTATCAAAACAGGCCCTTAATATTTAGTTATTTATTCATTTTAAACATATGTGTATTGCGTATTTTGTAAATTTTCAAACGGTAAACAACATAATACAACATAAAACAAACAACAACATCAAAAATAGCAATAATAATAATGAGAATAAATTTTTTTTAAGATTTAAAAAATGAAAGATAAGTAAACGGATAAATAGAAGCATATATCTGTAATGTCTGTAAAGGTCTAAATGTGTATACTAAAACAAGATGAAATGAAAAGATAAAGAAATCTTCAGTTCACCTCATCATTCCAGCCATCTACTTTGATATCATTTTTCTTAAGGAAATGACAGAAAACCTTCCAGATTTTCCAAAACTTGTCAAGCTCATTTTTTGTGGTGTACCTTATCTTTTCTAAAGCCAGAAAGACATCCCTGTTAACCATTTCAAAATAGTTCAAGTTTTATCCCTTTTCCATGAACAGATACATCTTTTAGCTTTAAGAAAACAAACATTGAGTAAGGATTTTTCATTTTTGAAGGTCACAGGGTAAATATTTAGTAAACATAGCTTTGGTTTGAGCGGTACAGTACTTCTCTTTCAATGATTTGATTGGCCAGGTTCAACACTTTCTCCCATAAATATTTAGCTACATTTTTAAAGTAATCTTAAACACTTGAAATTAGGACCTAAATTTGGACTCATAACAGCTGATGTTATGTGCGTGTTATGCTTTAATGTCTTCCTGAGTGTGTGAACTGATTTTCCAGGACGTCCCAGCTGGTATTTGTGGATCATTTGCTCTTTGTTGCTCTAAACAGATCTGCAGTGTTTTCATTTTTTAAAGAAAAGTAAAAAGAGTTTGTCTAACTTTTTTGGACTTAATGTTTATCATGAGCTTGGCCAACATGTTCCTGTTGGTTTACTGCACTCTGCTGCCCTCTGGTGGTGAAAGAAGACTCCTTAACAGACTGCCTAACTTGATTCATGCTCTAATAAGACAGTGCAGGGAGAGAAATGACCACAAAGCAGCAGATAAATCTCTCCTGACGTTGATGGATGTGTGAGGTCTGCAGGATTGCTGTAAAAGCAGAGGAAAGACGGGAGGTGGAGGGAAATAGCTGAGGGTGAGGATGGTTGGAAGTTTGTGTAACTTTGTTGTCTCTTGAAAACTATTTTTGTCCTTTTTTTGGAGGTTCAAGAACTTTCTTTTAGATTCTGATATGATAACAGCTTAGTTCAACTCACTTTTCATGAAGGATGCCCTAGTTAAATCCACCCTCTTTCAATTTTTTTGGACTTATTTTTACAAGAGGACACAAACGTTTTTTTAGTGGATTTTTCAGGTGGTTTAAAAGCAACACAACAAAAGTGAAGCACAAAGATACCGAAGCTCTAAACTGCTCTCTTAAGGTTGTTTTTCTGTATTTAAGGTCGTATTTTTCTCCCCAGCAGTGACTCTTCCTGGTCTCTGTCTCTCTGAAAGAGAAGTTATCTCTGCTGCAGAGACACTGATGGATGGTGTCCGACGGCGTTTCTTCCTCTTCATCTGCAGTCTTTAAAGAGAGGAGCTAATCCATGTCCGGTGTTTGTTGCGTCAGCCGGGACATGTTAAACAGAAGCGCAGCGCCCACTCTGCAGCCGGGGGGGACGAGATCAAAGCTGCTGCTGATGTCAAAAGGACTGTGATACTAAATCTGTATTCTTCTGCTCACACTGAGACGTCTGCACTCTCACACAGACTCTGCATACAACACAGAGAACTTTGATGTACGGGTTATTTATGTGTCTTTAAAAGATACACATTTGTTCACAGTGAAGGATGCAATCTCTGTCTGCATGTCTGTCTTTGGTACATAACCAGATCCTTTACTAAGCAAATCGTTTTATTCATGTTGTAAGGTGGAGAGAGCACACATCCCCTCTGTGTCATGTGCATGCATGAAAGGCCAGGGCAGGGAGAGCAGCAGCAAAGGCCCCCCAGGTAAAGCTACACGCCCCTTTTCATGTGTCTATGAAATGCCAAAGCCCAAGGAGTGATGAACACAACTCCCCTCTACTTTATGTGTATACATGAAAAGCCAAGGCAGGAAGAGCAGGAGCAAAGACACCAAGTGTAGAGCTGTCTGCCCATCCAATTAAGTATGTTGGGTGTCACACTCAAGGTGGGGGGAGCAGCAGCAAAGACCCCCCAGGTAAAACTACACCCTCCTTTTTAAATGCCAAAGCCTGAGATGTGATGAACATAACTACCCTCTACTTTACATGCATACATGAAAAGCCAGGGCAGGGAGAGCAGCAGCAAAGACACCCCAGGTAAAGCTACACGCCCCTTTTCATGTGTCTATGAAATGCTAAATCCTGTTTAGTGATGAACACAACTCCCCTCTACTTTATGTGCACACGTGAAAAGCCAAGGCAGGAAGAGCAGCAGCAAAGACAGCAAGCGTAGAGCTGTCTGCCCCTCCATTTGAGTATAATGGATGTTACACTCAAGACGGGGAGGGCAGCAGCAAAGACCCCCCAGGTAAAGCTGCATGCCCATTTTCAGATGCCAAAACCTGAGGAGTGATGAACATAACTACCTTCTGCTTTATGAGCGCACATGAAAAGCCAAGGCAGGAGGAGCAGCAGCAAAGACAGCAAGCGTAGAGCTGTCTCCCCCTTCATTTAAGTACGTTGGATGTCA